CTGAGTTCAGGAGTTCAAGACCAGCCCGGCCAACATGGTGAAACCTCATCCCTACTAAAAATACAAAAATTAGCCAGGCGTGGTGGCAGGCACCTATAATCCCAGCTACTCGGTAGGCTGAAGCAGCATTGCTTGAACCAGGAGGCGGAGGTTGAGGTGAGCTAAGACAGTATCATTGTACTCTGGCCTGGGCAACAAGAACAAAACTCCGTCTAAAAAAAGGAAAGAGCTGAACAAGGAAAATATAATTCTGCTAGCCCAAGGACAGTCCTACAACAGGCAACAGCACAGCACATTATTCATTATTTTAAAACAGGCATATATTGAAGTGAATGTTTCAAAAGTTTTTAACCGATGAAGGTACTCAACAACAAAAAACCTTGGAGGATTAGACAATAAAGAGATAAAGATTTGGGAGCGGCAAATATAACTAGAGCCATAATTCTGAAAGATTAATTTGACCACAGTACATTAGAAGATGAATTTAAAGTAGAAACAAATTTAGAGGTTACTCTCTAATAGTTCAGTCAACTTTGATTTCATTAGCAGTAATAAGAACAGACATTATTTCAGATATATTACAAACAAAACAGACAAGTCTTTTACATTATTATTTGCAAGTAAGGGAGAATGAACAAGAAAGTTGGCTTCATAATTTCTTCAAGCTTAGGCTAGGATGAGGATACCGTTAATAGAAAAGACTAATATTGGAGCAAGAACAGATTTGTAAGGGAAGTTCAAGAGAGAAGTTTTACATACACTGACACAAATGGAGAGACAATGAGGAAAAAAAAAGAAAAAGCAGGGCCGGGCGCGGTGGCTCAAGCCTGTAATCCCAGCACTTTGGGAGGCCGAGGCGGGTGGATCACAAGGTCAACAGATCGAGACCATCTTGGTCAACATGGTGAAACCCCGTCTCTACTAAAATTACAAAAAATTAGCTGGGCACGGTGGTGCGTGCCTGTAATCCCAGCTGCTCGGGAGGCTGAGGAAGGAGAATTGCCTGAACCCAGGAGGTGGAAATTGCGGTGAGCCGAGATCGCGCCATTGCACTCCAGCCTGGGTAACAAGAGCGAAACTCCATCTCAAAAAAAAAAAAAAAAAAAAAAAAAAAAAGAAAAAGCAAAAGAACTTCTATGCCTTCTCATTTACAATTATACCCTCTCTTTACCTCGACTGTGAAAACACTGCTTGCATAGATGACATGTAGCATTTTTAAAACAGCTTTGAAATATAATTCACATATTGTAAAATTCATCCATTTAAAGTATAAAACTGTGGTTTTTAGTATTTTCACTGTATTGTACAATAGTTACAATTTTAGAACATTTCCCTTATTCCAATTTGTTTAAATCTCTCCATTTAATTCTGTGAAAGAGGATGTTTCCTCATCTGTATAATGGTAATATCACCTTCCCCATAAGACAAGAGTTAAATAATATATGAAAAATGTAAAAAAAAAAAAAAAAACAGCCCCTCCTAGAAATGCCTGAATGTATAGGAGGTACATCAACGAAAGTCTCAAAACTTTAAAAATTAGATTTAATACTACAAAGGAAAAGTATGTTTCTAAAGATTTTTAATATCAAAATGATAAAAGTTATGTTTAATGAAGATATGAAAATGCTACAGAAGAAAAGACAATTTTGAAAAAGAAAGAGATACTGAGGTGGGAAGATCCCTTGAGCCTGGGAAGTTGAGGCTACAGTGAGCTAAGATCACACCGCTATACTCTAGCCTGGGTGACAGAGTGAGACCCCTTCTCAAAGAAAGAAAACAAACAAACAAACGAAAACAGAAAAGAAAGAAAAAAGCTAGAGGACTAACTAAAGTCATTAAAATTTGAAGCCATGGAATGCCCCACTCAGGTAGGTACCCCTTTCTCTCACTGGAGAGAGCTGATTTCTTTTCTCTTTCTTTTACCTATTAATTAAAATATTGGTCTTAACCTTGCTGGGCACAGTGGCTGACGCCTATAATCCCAGCACTTTGGGAGGCCGAGGCAGGTGGATCATGAGGTCAGGAGTTCAAGACCATCCTGGCTAACACGGTGAAACCCATCTCTACTAAAAATACAAAAACTTAGCCAGGCGTGGTGGAACAAGCCTGTAGTCCCAGTACTCAGTAGGCTGAGGCAGGAGAATTGCTTGAACCTGGGAGGCAAAGGTTGCAGTGAGCCAAGATTGCACCACTGCACTCTAGCCTGGGCGACAGAACAAGGCTCTGTCTCCAAAAAAAAAAAAAAAAAAAAAAAAAGACATGTTACTGGTAAGGCTAGCTCAATGAGAGAAAGGTGATATTACAGAGACAGAGAAGCTGAGATAACAAGACAGTTTTGACAGAAAAAAGTTAGAATGGCACAGAAATGCCACTTGAGCATAAAATGAAAATGTTTACTAGGTAACTGGGAAAAATGTCAAGAGCAATGGTTTTCAACCCTAGATCCTTTTCAACTTAACACTTTTAAAAAACAGAGATGCCTGGTCAGGTGTGGTGGCTCACGCCTGTAATCCCAGCGCTTTGGGAGGCCGAGACAGGTGGATCACCTGAGGTCAGGAATTCAAGACCAGCCTGGCCAACATGGTGAAACCCCATCTCTACAAAAATACAAAAAAATTAGCCAGGCGTAATGTCGTGCACCTGTAATCCCAGCTACTCGAGGCTGAGGAAGAAGAATTGCTTGAACCTGGGAGGCGGAGGCTGCAGTAAGCCAAGACCATGCCATTGCACTCCAGCCTGGGGGAGAGCGAGACTCTGTTTCAGGGGGGAAAAAAAAAGACAGACGCCCATTTCTACTTCCCAAATTTTGTGTTATTACTTGTTAGCCACTAGATTTCATAAGGAACTATGGCTATAGCCTTTGGTTTTCCAAACTCCAGAAGCCTTGTGGGAGTGGTGTTGAGTGAACTAACGTTTTACACTAGTATGTCTCTTCTCATGCAGACTTCAAAAAACATGTCTCTCAAAACAAGTGTCGGAGTTTCTGACTCCAATTTTAATAATAACTGTATATACACTTATACTGAAAAATAACTATATACACTTATACTGAAAAAGCTCTGTAAGCTGAACAAGCATGTCACAGATAATGAGTTTTGGAGAAGATTTACCTTGATTTGATCAAGGGTCTCAGTCACAGATATGAGAGGGGTACAACGTACATTCATACTTTTCATTCATACCTTACCAAAGTGAAAATAACTTTACATTTATTTGTGTGACTGTTTGACTGTTAACCTTATCCTTTAGAATATAGGGGGACTATATCTTATTTCGTATACCATACCACTATCAAGCACATAGTAAATGCTTAAATAATACCTAACGAAAGAATGAAATAGACTCTATGCCAGATCTCCAGAATCTAAATAACTAGGTATTGGACCCTGTATGTCAGGCAACATATACTGAAAAGAGAATTATGCTGAAAATGAAATAGCCTCATCCTCATAAAGCTAGTAACTACATTCAAGAAAACAAGAGAAGGCGGGCATAGTAGCTCATGTTGTAATCTCAGCACTTTGGGAGGCCGAGGCAGGCAGATCACCTGAGTTCAGGAATTCAAGACCAGCCTGACCAACATGGTGAAACCCTGTCTCCACTAAAAATACAAAAATTAGCCGGGTGTGGTGGCACGTGCCTGTAATCCCAGCTACTCAGTAGGCTGAGGCAGGAGAATTGCTTGAACCCAGGAGGCGGAGGTTGCAGTGAGCCAAGATCATGCCACTGCACTCCAGCCTGCTTAACAAAGTAAGACCCTGTCTCAAAATAAAAGAACAACAGTACGTATTCATTTAAGCGAAACAAAGAAACATCTATGGCAACAACAGATACCAAAAGTACTGTGGATGAAATAAATGTTAAAAGAGGACTGAAAATAAAAGTAATGTTTTCTAAGAGATTATACTTAGTGTGATACTCAACCTATACTAACATATTATTAATTTAGACAAGACTCTAGATAGGTTAACTAGCCTGTGAATGAAATTATCCTACCATGGTAGATAAAGCTAAGACTCTATTGTGTTTTGCATAGCATTAATTCTCATAATAACTGTCTTGCTTCACTTCATTGATTAGGAAATTAAATCACAGGGCTTCAGTATAATTCTAGTCACAAAGCAAGAAAGTGATCTAAGATGTATTAAATTTTTGTATCATTAAATTATGAAGTATTTTCTGAAAACCAAATATTCCATTTATGACACCATATAATTCTCCCTGACAGAAACTACCACTTTAGCTACAGCAAGCCAGCCATAAAACTTTCAAAAGCAAAAATTTTGAGTTTCCTGAAAATCAGTTTTTAAAAAAAGTGATAACTTTAAAAGAAAGTGAAATTCACTAAAGAATTTCTCTATTTTTTCTGGATAAAAAATAGAGAAATCCTAAAACAAATACAAACTACTAAAAATACTAGAAATATTTATCACTGAGTTAAATCATTAAGACACCTTTACCTATAAGAAAAACCATATTAGTTTATATTGCATGTATAAAGTATTTTATAAAAAGGAATCACATGGATTTAATTTATTATTCAAGTATTACTCAAAGAACCTCCAAAGATACAAATTTCCTTAAGAGTACCTTATAAACAAAGTATTTTAAAACTAGAAGACAGTAAAAATGAAAGGAATTAGAGAATCAACTTCACTTTTATTTTTAAGAGACTGTGTCTTACCATGTGGCCCAGGCTGGACTCAAACCTATGGGCTCAAGTGATTCTCCCACCTTAGCCTCTGGAACTTCAGGCATGGGCCTAGTTTGTTTTATTGTTTGTTTTGAAAGTCATCTTTAATTTCCCTCACAACTGTTTCCTAATAAAGTTAATAAATATTAGTGTTTTCATTTGCTTCCATAAAATATATTAGACCTTATAATTAGAAGATACTTAGTAATGACAAGGCTAACAATTCCTCTGTCCAAATTATTCCTAAAACATGCAAATTCATCATATTCTAAGTAAAAATCCAAAAGATCACTTAGTATAGACTCACCCAGGTTTCCTTGCTCGATTGTCAGCACCACCTCATCCATCACCACAGCCCTAAAGTCCAGTTCCTCCTCACAACATTTGGCCTTCAATGCTCGTAAAATCTCTTTTTGAGGATAGTCTTCCCTGATGCGACGATCTGTCAAAAACCACAACTTGGCAGCCACAGAGCTACACATCTTGATCAGCTTGTGCTTCCTTGCCTGGATTATTTCCTCTCAGATGCAACGTCTATCTAGATGGAAAAGAAAATATACACACAAGGTAAATCAAGAAATCTACTTGATTTCTGGATTTCAGACAAGTAAATGCCATGATTATATACTAATTACACAAACAGGAAAAAACAAGTGGAGAGATGCTATTTCTTTTTCCCTTTTATTCAAACTAAAATGTTTATACACTAGTAATATGGAAACTGACCACCTCTTCAGAAATATGATTTCTCTATTTTTCCTTGGGGAAGCTGCCACTGCAACTTAATAATCATAGCTGGTCATTTAGCACAAACTTTAAATACCATTCCCAATATTACATATTGTCTAGGAATGCAGTTTAATCTAATCACTGACTTTTTATCTCCTCCCTCAACATTCTGTTGATATAAAATGAAATGCCAATCATCAATGTATCTCCATCTTTCCAATCATTAGAAACCCCACTTAAGTATATTTTTGTATCTGTGGCTAACTTTATATTCAGTTTTCTTCCCTGGTTTTGTTATAGGTATGTAGAAAAAAAAATAGGTAGTAGCACTTATCTTACTAGGTAAGCTTCAATGATGAGGTCATTTACATAGTAGCTTCAGCCAAAATAAGTAATTGGAGAATGAGTAAAAGAGGTCTCAATAACCAAAATAAACGTCCAGGTCCATTCACAAATTTCATTTATTTCAATCAGAGGACAGCATGCTCTTACTCAATGTTTTTATTCTTTCTATAAATAGAATTTTTAAAAATAAATGCAGCTTGTTTACTAAAATGCATAAAGGGACTGTTTTTTCAGATAGTGTTGCTTCCGGCTTGTATCATGAGCAATGTAACATTAAAAATCATCTTCCTGAGAAGCAGAAAAGTTACAAGTTTCAGAACAAGCAACAAAAAGACTTTTTTAAGTGTTTACAAAAAAACAAAATGTCAACTATCATTCAAGTATCATTCCAGATAATACTGCACAACTAACACAAAAGGAAAAAGTCCAGGGCAAAGAGTGCAGGAAGGAAAGGCCATACAGCAGATTCCTGTATAGCGGCAGCTGTACATAGTCCACCCTTCCAGGTACCAGCAAGAAGGGCCTGCTCCACAGTGCACACGGTTTAAAAGCAGAGCACTGCTGGGCAGGGCACCACCAGAGCCAATGGCACACATTCCCAAGCACCTTGAAATGCCAAGTCTGCCACACTTACCTACTTCTCTTTTAACCTACCTACTGCCCCACAATCTATTGCCTCGAAGGCATAAGTCTCTGTTAAGCAGAATATCTAAACTGGGTATATGACAGTAACTGAGCTTACTTACATGCTAGGGAGGAACTATGCTAACTTAATGTCAGATGTTCTAGGGTTAGCAGTTCTGAATATTTAATAATTTTTTATTTTTAATTATTTTTTGAATGGAGTTTCACTCTTGTTATACCCACGCTGTGGATATGCTAGTAACTCACCTTACACATAGGAAGGAACTATGCTAACTTAATGTCGGATGTTTCAGGGTTAGCAGTTCTGAATATTTAATATTTATTTATTTGAGATGGAGTTTCACTTGTGTAGCCCAGGCTGGAGGGTAATGGTATGATCTCAGCTCACTGGAACCCCTGCTTCCAGCGATTTTCCTGCCTCAGCCTCCCAAGTAGCATGTCCCACAATGCCCAGCTAATTTTGCATTGTTTTTTTTTTTTTTCAGTAGAGACAGGGTTTCACTATGTTGGCCAGACTGGTCTTGAACTCATGACCTTAGGTGATCTGCCCACCTCAGCCTCCCAATGGGCTGGGATTACATGCATGAACCACCACACTTGGCCATATTTAATGATTTTCAAAAATAAACATGTTTTATTCTTTCAAATGTCTATTCTTTTAAATACCATACTCTCTCCAATTTTGGTCAATTTGTAAATTATAAAGTATATTTGTGCTAAAGTTTGTAATATTTAAATGTTATTAGGCCAGGCAAGTGGCTCAAGTCTCTAATACCAACACTTTGGAAGGCAGAAGTGGGAGGACAGATAGAGCCTAGGTGTCTGAGACCACCCTGGGCACATGGCGAGACCCTGTCTCTATGAAAAATTAAAAAATTAGTCAGATATGGTGGCATGTGCCTGTGGTCCCAGCTACACAAGAGGTTGAGGTGAGACCACTGGAGTGCAGGAGGCTGAGACTGCCGTGAGTTATATTAGTGTCACTGCACTCTAGCCTAAGTGACAGACCAAGATCCTATCTCAAAATAAACAAACAAACACATTTATTAGAAGATAAGGCCAGGCATGGTGGCCATACCTATAGTCTCTACTAAAAAAGAAAATTAAAAAATTAGTTGGGCATGGTGGCAGGCATCTGTAATCCCAGCGACTAGGGAGGCTGAGTCAAGAGAATTACTTGAACCCAGAAGGTAGAGGTTGCAGTCAGCTGAGATCGTGCCATTGCACTCCAGCCTGGGCAACAAGAGTGAAACTCCATCTCAAAAGAAAAAAAAAACAAAAAAGATAATGAGGATCAGGCTCATTAAAATGAAAAATATATAAACACTATGGCTTCCCTACAACAGGGTATTTCACACATATTACAGGCAATAAGCCTTATCCACCCTCCTCCTTGAACAGAATGTTTCTGATACATTTCTGTGAAACTTTCCTTGAAAAGAGATTTCCACTTTAACAGCAGTATGGAAAAGGTACAGAGTAAACCTGCACTAGCATCTCAACCTGATGGGACAACTTTTTCTTATGGGTTGCACTTCAGTCTCCTCCCTGTGGATAATCACAGGAGAGGCCACAGTGTGTCCCTGACCAGACACTGTATCCAGAGAGCTAACTATGCTCATTAGGAAGAGAGGTTATACCCACACAGGCCCTTCCAGGGCACTTGGGAAGGTCTCACTCAGAAGCAAAGCTCCACAAAAGAAAACGTTAAACCAGAAAGCCTGATGTAGAATATCCTCAGCTTCCCTTGACAAAAGAATTGTAAAAATGCCCTAAAAATGTCTGTAATCAGTAGTTATTAAAAGGCTCTATCACTGACCTCCAGTACTCTGAAGCTATGTCCATGCCTTGGCCTGACATTTAACTCTTGAAACTCATCCGCTGGCAGATTTTTTCTTTTTTTCCTGAAACAGGGTCTCACTTAGTTGTCTAGGCTGGAGTGCAGTGATGCAATCATAGCTCACTACAGCCTCAAACTCCTGGGCTTAAGTGATGCACCTGTTTCCTCTGCCTCCCAAGCAGCTGAGACAGCAGGAGCGTATCGTATCAGGCTAATTTTTTTTTTCTTAAGAGGGAATCTCCCTCTGTCATCCAGGCTGGAGTACAGTGGGGCAATATTGGCTCACTACAACTTCTGTCTTCCGTGTTCAAGCGATTCTCCTGCCTCAGCCTCCTGAGTAGGGATTACAGGTGTCTACCACCACACCTGGCTAATTTTTATATTTTCAATAGATATGGAGTTTTGATGTGTTGCCCAAAATCATGGGATTACAAGTGTGAGCAACCAGCCTGACCTCTAATTATTTATTTATTTTGGGGGGTAAAGATATGGTCTCACTATGTTACCCAGACTGATCTCAAACTCTTGGCCTCAACCAATCCTCCCACTTCGGCCTCCGAAAGTGCTGGGGTTATGGTTGTGAGCCACCATGCCCTGCCAAGTGATGATTAATTTCACTGCACTGTAGGATTTCACCTGAGTGTGGCAGTTGCTGCCCCAATAGCAGTCAGAATGGAATGTTATAGTCACTAGCAACTGGAAAGTAGAAACATTCTGCTGCTACTGATATATAAGTAGTCAGAAATTACATGGGCTACAACAGTGTTTCCAATGATTCTGAAACCAGAAAATAGTAATATTCCCCCCTGAAGAGCCACAAAGCTTTCAGTCAACATGTTTTTCTAGGCCAGGCATGGTGGCTCCTACCAGTAATCCCAGAACTTTGGGAGGCCCAGGTGGGCGGATCACTTGAGGTCAGGAGTTTGAAACCAGCCTGGCCAATATGGCAAAACCTCATCTCCACTAAAAATAAAAAAAATTAGTCAGGCATGGTGGTGCATGCCTGTAATCCTAGCTACTAAGGAGGCAGAGACAGGATAATTGCTTGAACCCAGGAGGTGGAGGTTGCAGTGAGTGGAGATCATGCCATTGCACTCCAGCCTGGGCGATAGAGCGCAACTCCATTTCAGAAATAAATAAATAAATAAACTGGCAGGGAGCCTCACTTTGGGAGGCTGAGGTGGGCAGATCACTTGAGGTCAGGAGTTCAAGACAAGCCTGGCTAACATGGTTAAGATCCCGTCTCTACTAAAAATAAAAATAAAAATAAAAAAACTAGCCAAGAGTGGTGGTGCTTGTAATCCCAATTACTCAGACGGCTGAGACAGGAGAATTGCTTGAACCTGGGAGGTCAAGGCTGCAGCGAGCCCAGATTATGCCATTGTATTCCAGCCAAGGAAACAGAGCAAGACTCCATCTCAAAACAAAAAAAAATAAAAGAACACATTTTTCTTTTTTTTTTTTTTTTTTTTTTTTTTTTGAGACAGAGTTTCGCTCTTGTTACCCAGGCTGGAGTGCAATGGCACGATCTCGGCTCACTGCAACCTCTGCCTCCTGGGTTCAAGCAATTCTCCTGCCTCAGCCTCCCAAGTAGCCGGGACTACAGGCACGCGCCACTACGCCCAGCTAATTTTTTTTTATCTTTTAGTAGAGACAGGGTTTCACCATGTTGACCAGTATGGTCTCCATCTCTTGACCTCATGATCCACCCACCTAGGCCTCCCAAAGTGCTGGGATTATAGGCGTGAGCCACCGAGCCTGGCCAAGAACACATTTTTCTACATTAAACCTCTGATTACCAAGTACAGTAATCCCTCCTTATCTACAGGGGATAATTCCAAGACCCCCAGTGGATGCTTGAAACTGCACCACACACACACACACACACACACACACACACACACAGAGTTTTTTCGTAAACATACATACCTATGATAATTTGTATATTAGGCACAGTAAGGGATTAAAGATAAAACAAT